GCCCCGCCCCCTGGTGGGCTGAGCTGGCCACACACACACACACACACACACACACACACACACACACATAAATAAATAAAATTAAAAAAAAAAAAGTAGAATAAGCCCTCCAGGTACCCCAACTCACTTGGTCCCTGGGTAGCTACAGAAACTGTCTATTGTCTGTGGGTGGATGTGCCTCCCTCCAATCTCTTCCAAGGTTAAAACTCCTTCTGAGGGAATTATGTGCAAAGCCTCCCTAGGAGCAAGGCCCCTATGCTCTAGAGTATAGTGGTCTAAGCACCCAAGAATCCTTAACAACACTTTAGGACAGTTACTAAAAGAACCCAAGAGTCTGGCACTGCTAATTCTGCTTATATGTCTGGGACCAAAAAGCTGGTCTCACAGAGCTATGAACCTTAGCACATCTAGACCATCCAGGGCAGGGGTTCCATAAACCCCCAATGTACCCAATTCAAGGTCTAAGCTGTCAAAACTTTCCAGCCCCAAACCCCCTCCTGTACCTAACAACCTCTTTGCCCTAGACAATACCAACTAACCCAGAAATATTGATTGAGGCCAGTATCTCTGATCCTGGGATCTCTCTAGCCTCTGCCAGCAGACACATTACCATAGACCCTGCTTCTGCTCCCATTCCCCTTCTAGATCTGTCCCCTACTGGAACTATGTCAGCCTCTGAGACTGCAGTTCCCATACCTTCTCCCAGGGCCAGGGGTTCAGACAAGGGAGAGGAGGCTGAACTGGAGAAGCAGGCCCATGTGGGTCTAGCTCTAGACATTACCCACTGGGCTAAAATACCAGCTTCTAGGGTCCCACATTCTGAATGCATTTTACTCCCCTCTGCCTGGACATGGGCCCCAATGTTCCCTGTCCTCCAGAGTGTAAAAGCACAGACACTGCACAGGTACCCAATGGCAGACAGAATAATGAGAACAAGGGTCAAGGGTCCCATGCTCCAAGCCTATCCCCGCTTTCCTTTGATAGAGCACAATTACCCACCAAGATGACTGTGGGCCCCTGTCACTGCTCACCTGCCAACCTCCACAAATAGCTATTTATAGCGCCCGCCAGCTCTCACCACAAGCTCTGAAATGAGCCTTCCACTTAACGGTAATGAGAGCCTTATAGCCTGGCTTGGAAAAGCCGTTCCAGGACTCCACTTGTCGACCTGCCTGGCCAACTGGAGGGCTGAAGAACCTCCTCCAATTAATGTCAGGGAAGAGGGCAATATACATGAACCTACTGAGAGACAACAAAAGGAGGGGGAAGCCTGAAAGGCAAATCCACCTAGGACCCTCGGAGCCAGCAGAGGAAGTCATATAACCTGGCCCTGGGCAGCTGCAGCTCAGCCTCCAATTCTCAAAGCCTTGCATCCTGAGGCTCCATGTATGCAACCACAGAAGACCACATCCCGGATCCAACGCTTCCAAGGTTAGTGAAGGAAAGTCATTAGTTTTCATAGTTGGAGTCCACTTCTGCTAACCTGGCTGCTCAAGCCCCCTCCAGCTCACAAATCCATGCCCCAGTTTCTGCCGTCTCTAAACACAGTCACTATTTTTTTTTTTTTTCCAGAACCAGGGATTGAACTCAGGTCCTTGCGCTTGCCAGGGAAATGCTTATTCCACTGAGCCATCTCCCCGGCCCCATAGTCACTATTTTTCATGGCTGTCTTGCTCTTCCATCCACACATACGTTCACCTCAGCCTTGGTCCTTGGGGGACTGATAAAAACAATACCATGAAGCAAAAACTCCCAGGCTCTAAGCCCTTCCAATGTCAGCTCTTAGAGGTAGGTATCTCCATCCTTAGTCCCCACTCAGCAAATGGGGCAAGGTTATTAAGGACAGGGTCACGGAGGCTCTCTGAAGAAGGGGCCAGACCTTCCCTGGTAGTTTGAGGGAAGAAGAGTTCCCAAATCCAGGAAGGGCATGACTCTTCAGCAGCATCCTCAGGGTCTGGGCACCTAAAGACTGTAAAGTACAGTAGCTGAGTGGTCATCAGCCATCTTAAGAGCTGGATTTTGGGGATTCTCTCCAAGAGACTAAAGCCTATGTGCACTCAGAGATTCCAGGGACAGTGGGGACCCTACTCCAGCCTCACCAACATTCAGACTACATCTCTAACTCCCATTCTGGAGGAATTGGGCAGTAATAGAAATGATCAGAGGGAGTGGTGTTCTTTCCACTCTCTTCAGGCTGGGCATTAGGGTGGGCAGCACCAGGCATCCACCCTGTACCACCTGCTCTGCCAGCCCCCTCGTTGGCAGGCAGGAGGCAGCTTTGCGGCTGCTCTGCACATCTGCCTCCTCCAGAGAGCCTGGCTCTGAAGCTGCCTAGCTGTGGACAGCCCCGTTGCCATGGAAACTGCATCCTCCATCCTTGCTGTTGCCTTCATCTCAAAGCCATCGGGAGAACAGAGGAATGGGGGTTACAGAGGCTGCAGAGAAAACTGGCCTGACTATACGACCCTTACTGCTCTGTGTATCCCTCCTTCCCTGCCAGCCTCCTGAGGAGAAGCAGCTGCCTGGATCCACCTAAGACCCAAAGCTAGCCTGGTCCCAGGTTTACCACCTGGAGACCTCTGGCCCTCCCTACTGGGGGGAAGCTCAAAGCTAATTAAAATCTCATTGACTGCTCAACCCCAATCATAATACATGTCTGATCCTGTCAAAATGCAGACTGGGGCAGAGGAGAAGGGGAAATGAGGAAAGTGCAGAGTTGAATGTCCAACTTGAGCCCACAGACAAGTAAGGGGGCTTACAAGCTTTCCTGAGAGACCCCTCTCCCCTCCATGCTCTGCTCACTGAGCAGGAATGAGTCTAGTGGGGTTGGAGACAGAACAAGGGGACAGGTCTGGCCATATGCCTTTCCCTGAGAGATCAGGCACAGAGGACAAGCCTTTCCCCTCCCAGCCAGGTGCAGCCTCTGGGGGTAGAGAGAGGGCTTTTAAGTCCTCACTGCACAACAGGAGCTACAGCCCAGGCAACATGTCAGTGAGCTGGTAAGTATAGAAAAAATCATTGGAGGAAGGCAAGGCCAGCTGCCTCTTCCACAGCTAGCCCCAGGGAGCCCTCTGAGAGTAGACTGCCAATGGCCAAGGACACCAGCTCAATGCCACACTGGGCTGGCCCAGGTGAATAAAGGAGTCTGGATAGGCCTTTAGTACTCCTATCCCTGACACTCCCTTGGACCACCCAGACAGTCAGAAGCATGTGGAAGCACTGCTGAAACAGGGGAACCTGCTCTGGCCTCCGAGGCCACTGGCCATATGACAAGCCCACCACTCCGCTCACTCATGCACATGGCTCACATGCACCATTAGGCCCTCGCTGAGGGGGAGAGATGCAATGGCTTCCTTAGAAAGTCTTTAAACTCAGAGAGGAAGGAAGGAGGAGAAACAGACCTCAACTATCATTTTTGTGTTTTGCTCTCAGAATATCAGCCTGTGCTCTGGCTTCAGCCAGAGGCATGGAGTGGGCGAAAGACAGAAGAGATCTGGCCCACACCAGAGGCTAAGAGTGGCTTTCAACCCAGATTTCCCATGGACTGCGTTTGCTCAGAGATAGATGACAATGCTCAAAAGGAAGAATGGGTGTGGGCCAAGAATGGATACACATCTATACAAACTCTTGGCCCAGAAAAGGAAGAGGTCTGCCTGATACATCCCAATCCCATTGTAGCTCTTTACCTCCTACCTCATGGGGATGAGAGGTCCTGGGCCCTTTTTGCCTACCCTTTGCTGCCCAGTTCTACCCACCCCTCTATGCCAGGCTGGAGAGCCAGGCAGCCACACAACCAGCAAGCAGCTGTTGCATCCCACCCAAGGTGGTGGCATCTTGCTGGGTGAAGTGATGCATGTTCATTTTTAATTACAGATACCAATGTGCGCCCGCCTACACCCAGCAGTCCCTGCAAGTGGGGGCTCAGACCCTAGAAGCCCCACAGGCAGCTGGTTGGCATCACACGTGCGAAGTGTTGGATGGGGGGGTAGCAGAGCAGGGAGGCTGCGGACTGAATGAAGCAAGTTGTTATTATTCCACCCAGGAACTTCTGTCAACTTCCCTCTCTCTGGCTTCCTCTCATCTCCCTCAGGACTCCCAACTGCCTCCTGGCCAGGAACACAAACCTGTATGTGGGATGCTAGCAGAGAGGGTGGGGACCTACAGAAGGCTAATGACTGTCCTCCCCTGCTCCTTTCTTCAGTAGCAGCAAGACCCAAAGCTCTGAAAATAACAGGAAAAGGAGATAAGAAGTGAGAAAGACTACCAGGGAGTGGATAGAGGGCATAGGAAGTGTCAGAGACAGCCCCAGGCAGGAGTCATCCAGGGCCTCAGTCTAGGTACTGACAAATAAGTGACTTCCCTCTGGGCCTCAATTTCCCCAACAAAAGGAGTAGAAAGAACTTCAAATAAAGCAGGGAACTGGAAAGGATGAATAAAAATACCATTATGTAAAGATAAGACGGGGCAAGATAGCTCAGTAGTCTAAAGCGCCTGCTTAGGCAGCTGCAGGGGACCGAGGTTCAATCCCCGGAACCATAGCCACACCAGCCCTGCCCCCTCAGGGTGGGCTGAGCCAGTCAGAGAAAGAAAGAAAGAAAGAAAGAAAGAAAGAAAGAAAGAAAGAAAGAAAGAAAGAAAGAAAGAAAGAAAGAAAGAAAGAAAGGAAGGAAGGAAAAGAAAAGGAAAGGAAAGGAAAGGAAAGGAAAGGAAAGGAAAGGAAAGGAAAGGAAAGGAAAGGAAAGGAAAGGAAAGGAAAAGAAAAGGAAAGCA